GGACTCACCAAATCTTCAACTCCTTGGTCCGTAGAAACCTATCCTCAAGAATGGAACTCAATCTCTGAACCCTACATTTGATTAGAATGTAGACAAAGTATGCGTTAGTACAAAATATGTTAGCAAGCATAATACCATAAGAGTACAATATAGGGGTTAGTCAATATAAGACATAATCCATAATCCTATGAAATACTTCATTAAACCTAAACAATAAGCATAAGAGAGAATATCATAATCATAAGCAAAGTCTCAAACATAAGCATCGTATAAGCATTATTCCCTCCTTAGTTACCGATATCATTAGAGAACTACTTCTCAAGTAACCTCAAAGCATAATTGTGCAATGGATGAATGACATCCCATAATACCATTAACACTAAGCATAACATGAAGTCACTATATTCATACTTCCATTCATTTGGTCTCATTCTTAGCTTACTTCATAACCAATGGAATATCTCAACTTTAGTCAATCATAACATAACAAGGAAGACAATTATAGCACAATCCTATCTAACCATACATCACATAAGAGAAACACTTCATGAGTAACCTCAAGTCAAGTTTGTGCCATGCATGAACAAGACCCCATAATCCTACCCATGCTAAGCTAGACACTTTAGGTTCAGCATTAATGTTTATCGTCTCTTAACATAATAAAGACAAGGGGAATCACCTTTAGTCATGCATATGTTGGAGGGGCCTACCAAGCTACAATCCAAACTAGTCAACCTCATGTTCATAAATGCAAGGGGGAATTACCTCAAGGCAAGAAGGACAAGGGTACTCACCTCAAGCCACACAGATCATGGAATCATAAAGACAAGGGTAATCACATTTAGTCATACTTACTAATAAATCATTGGTATTCGCCTCCATGTTCATTTTAATATGATATAGGTATTCGCCTCCAATCCATTTTAATGTGTAATATAGGTATTCGCCTCCACATCATCACATAAGGATCATAGGTTATCGCCTCCATGATCAACATAAAGGCTAATGGGTAATTACCGCTTGCCTTGGGAGTCATACATAAATAAAGGGTAATCACCTCACACTCCCCATATCATGACATAGGTAATCACCTCATTTTTTTACTAATTAGGAGAAAGGGACCTCACCTCACATTCCTATCATGTAAAGGTCTTTTAAGGAAATTACTACAAGCCTGATGACATTTTATAGTCCTAGCAGTTAGATTCATTTTAGGTGCGAATAGACTTTCAACCTTGAATCATTCTATGTGAGAGCACCTTTCATGTCATATCATATTCATGCATAATACCATATCTAGAATTCTACATTAGACATAGATATCATCATAACTCAAGTGATTCTATCACTTCATACATTCAAGCATTCATGAGGTAGATTAGGTTGGTAAAGTCTTCCACCATAATTTTATCCATTAAGCTTCTATTCTCATATAGACTTTACTCTCTAAGCCTTAACATACATAGTTCATCATATTGGTTTTACTCTCCAAACACTAGTGATCAACATTCATGACTACAAGCCTTACACTCAAAGTATTACTTCTTACAATCATCGTTCATACCTAGATTTCAAGGAATTCTAATCACATTCTTCATTAGTAGGTGATTCTAGTAATAATTCATCATAAAGGTTCAAATTCAATATTTACTAGTCAAGATCCATCTTATTAACATTATTTTAAAACAATTCATCTATATGTTTCTATTCTTGAACAATTACTACTCATAACATCAATTCTAGAAGATCACCTATGAATCCTCAATTTCACCTTTCATGGCATAAACCCACATAATTCAATTTCATCAATTAGACTAAGGTTAACCATGGAAATCACATTAATTCATCATAATATCATATTTAAATATTAAAAACAATCATAAACAGGTACTATCCACTCAATTGGAATCATACTTCACCACAACCCACAATTTAGAAAAAACCCTAGCTAGAATTGGATTTTGTCTTCACAACTGGGGGAAATCTAGGGGGGTCTATGGATGGAAGAATCCATATATGAATAAGCTAACATACATTGATTCAAAGAATTCACAAAAGCTTTTAACAATGGAGACTTTTTCTTGAACAAATCTTCAAGCTCTATCCTCTTCTTCAACTCTTGGGGTTTCTACAGAGAGGATTTTTGAGATGAAGAACTTTGGGATCTTTTGGGGTTTTGGAATTAATGACTTAGTTAGGGTGGTTATCGACTTAAAATAGCTTATATATATGTATAAAGTCCATATAAAACGACCCCCACTTAAAACCAACTAAAATAGGAATATACCTAAAGTCCCTTACCTTGGCCGACCTTGGACAGTGTTGCAGACATGACCCAAGCCCATGACCCAGTGACCGTGGGTGGGTAAACTGGGTGTGCTGCACACTCATAGGTGCTGGTATGCAGCTACTCTAATGGGGACTTGACCTAGGACCCCTTCCCACGGGGCGTGGGTCCACCTATGGGTCGTTAGTCCTAACCATAGGCAGCCCTCTTTGGGCAGTTTTAGGGACTGTTTTGGTATCCTCCTCAAGGACCCCTTTGGTTGGTCTTTAGGGAGTCGTACCTTGATGTTTAATCCCTATACCCCTCATTCTATGTTCCGTAAGCCATTTTACAATTCTAAACCACACATCAAACTCTAAAACTCTCACGTAATGCCCTAGAACTCTTACGTTAGGCTCTAGTTTCACCTACTATTTTCCAAGGTATTACAATATCTCCCCCTTGGGACCATTCGTCCTCGATTGACGATTCTAAATACTTTTTAAAGGAAAAGACTTAAACCAGCTGCCCATCATGCAAACAACACATTTTAATGTACACATAAACAAGGAGGAAAACTTCAGTTCCAATCTAAACATATTCAATGCAACACAAAGGAGTAGGAACTACATCTAACATCCCAAAATGCATGAAATTCTATATTTACTCATTATCAAGGAGGAACTATCATATCATAACTAAAACATGCTCAACATACACTCATGGAGTCTAAATGTAATTTACTCTCAAAAAGCATTTATTCAAGGAAAAAATCTTTCAACTCCAAACTAAGGCATGCTCATATATTCATCTCATGAAGTCAAATAGGCAACTCATACTCAATGCACTACTGATTAACTTTTCAAAGACACTTCATCCATTTCTAAGCGTGAACGATGGCGAGTTAGTATATATCCCAACAAAATGAGTTGGGGTAGATCCCACAGAGAGTAACTTTTCCTTCGAATTCAATTATAGAAGTATGACAACAATCTCTTCAACTGAATACTTACTGCACCTTTTTGGTTTATGCTTCGAATTTCAGGTTATAATTATCAATCTAATTCAACACTTGACACGAAATTATCAAATAATGAGGTAACACTTGGGGAATTGACAACCCAATTATTGAATTCAATTTAGTTTATGAACATTGATGCTCACAATGGGATAACATGTCGTGGGTAGGTAGGACTATATGTAAAGCAATTTTTTCTCGAACAATTACCTTATCTTTGTTGAATTCTCTCAAACTTCAACACTAGATGGAAGATGCCCATCTCTTGTCCTCATCAAATCCACTATCTCAAGCTAGATACAAATGATAGATTCCATGTTTCACTTTCTCAAGATGAAATCATAGAGACCCACTACTAAGGATGCTAAACTTGCTACTTTGGCTTTGCACTTCTCTCTCGAGCAAGCACAAAACAATGACTAGTGACAGTAATCATGCAAGATGACCTCAAAATGCAGCAGCAAATCAGACCCACTTCAAATTAACACCATTATTATGTTCAATTGTCTATAGTCAATACAAAGCCTAAGAGTACCATCTTTCTTCTTTACGAATAAACAGGGGCTCCCCAAGGAGAAACACTAGATTGAATTAAACCTTTCTCAAGAAGTTCTTGCATTTGAGATTTCAATTATCTTAATTCTGCCGGAGCCATTCTATAAGGAGTGATAGAAATAGGGGTAGATCCAGGGATAAGCTCGATTGGAAATTCAACCTCTCTTTCCGGGGGCAATCCCGGAAGGTTTTCTGGAAATACTTCTGGATAATCACGTACAGTAGGTATGTCTTTGATACAAGGACTCTTCAATTGTATATCAACTTTGTGAGCAAGGTATGCCCCACAACCTTCATGCATCAACTTTCATGCCAAGGCCGCAGAAATAATACTAGATGTCACTGATCTTTCACCTTGTACAATGATGTGTGAAAATGTAGGATCTTTAAAAGTCACATGCTTAAACCTACAATCTACCACCGCATGATATTTATAAATCCAATTCATCCCGATAATAACATCAAAATCCTTGAAGGGCATTTCAATCAAATCAGTAGGAAAGACTAGGTGTTGAATCACAAAGGGGCAATCTTGGTAAACTCGATTACACACAACCTGATAACCCAAAGGACTTTCAACTATCACATTATAAACAAGTCTCACAGATTTCACATTTTCGGGAAGAACAAGTGATGAACAAATATAGGAATGTGTAGATCCAAAATCAAACAATGTAAATACACATAAGCTAAATAAGAGAAATTTACCGACAATCATGATCATCCTTCTGCCACATCGCATAAGTGTGTGCAGTAGCCTTTTGCCTACTAATTTGATTAACTCCACTGGTACCTGTTGCCTGGGTGTTTTTAGGTCTTGCACCTCTATTAGTTTGAGGAGGATTAACAGACGGGTTATGAACTGAGCCTTCAGTTTTAAAGGAAGGAGCATTACTAGGATTAGGACAATCTTTCACTTTATGATCAAAAGCTCCCACAATTGAAACATGCATCAGAAGCTCTCCTGCAAGTGCCATACTAATTCTTTCCACATTGTGGACAAGTAGGAACGCGAGGCTTGCCTTGGCCATAATTTGGAATGCTAGCTGTAGAAACTTGTGATTTGTTTTGCCTTTGTTGAGGTGGCCTGTTATCACTACCAACTTTAGAATTATCAAACCTTCCACTTTTGGATGGACCCCAAAAATCTGGTCTAGGCTTTCAGAATCTGTTTTCATTTCTACTAGTTTCTTCTTTATCAAGTCGTTCCCAAGTAAAAGCAGCAGACACTAACTTACAAAATTTCTCATGTTGCAGGATCGCCACATTCTTCCGTATGGAATCATTTGAACCGTCTTCAAATTTCCTGCACTTGTCTTTTTCCTCTTTAATAATACCACCAGCATAGCGAGAGAGCCTTAGAAACTTCTGTTCGTATTCAGCAATAGACATGCCTCGTTGCCTTAGATTCAAAAACTCATTTTTCTTTGCATCACAATAAGCAGGTGGGACATACTTCATACAAAATTCCTTAAGAAAATCATCTTAAGTAAGAACAGAAGGTTTTACCTTGGCATTCGAAACACTTACCCACCAATCATAAGCATCCTTTTGTAATAGTGAAATAACATACTTAAATTTGGCAACATCTGAACACTCCAACTGCTCAAATACCCTCTCCATGCGATCAAGCCATTGTTCAACATCTGTGGGATCAACAGTGCCTTCAAACTCCACTCCACCCATTTTCCTCATTTTCTCAAAGTTAATCCTATAAGGATCATGCATCGATTCAGTCATATGGTAGAATAATCCAACCATTTGTTGAAAATGATGATTCATGGTTTGAGTATCTTTACTCATGTGAGGATGTGGACCAACTCTTACACCTTGATGGTTTCCCACTTCAGAACAACTAGTGTGGGGAACATACTAATTCGAGATATGTTCTCCAACCCCTTCCAGTGCATGAGGTTGGGAAACAGAGGCACCTGAACCTTCACGAGCAGCTTCCATAGGTCGGTCAGAAGAAGTGGCCATAACTTAATTCCTTCAAAAGGGAATATCACATTCCATTAGGGATACGTACTAGATGCATATGCACTGTACATGCGATGCAATTATCATAAACCATATTAGAGAACAAATAATCTAAATAAAACTTTTTCTGAAAGCAAACAACTACATTAGTAATGCACAACAAAAGTCCTAGAACCACATACCTAGGCTCTGATACCAACACTTGTAGCGATCCTTTCAAAACAATACCACTACTTAAACAAGAAATTTAATTAAATACTTGCGAAATTTAAAACCATTTAATGAGGGCATACTGATTTTAATTTAGTAGAGGGAATAGATTCATAACAAACTCCAAAAAATATAACATCTAAGCAATTAACTGACCAGATCTTCATGCATATGTTAACCTCACACTCTAGGGTGAAATAACCAGAATATTTAAAACTTCTGAGTACCGAAATCAGCCGGCTCATGCTTCACCGAACTTTCAAGACATATAGTAAATTAGTATATTACAAGACTTGGGTTTACACACCCCAAAAAGATAAAAACATATAACCATACTTATACTACAACCCATGGTGACCTGACCAAATCACCCCTCAAAATATCCTGTCAATATACAGCACAAAGATCATGTACAAGTCCCAAGGTTATACAAAATATATATTCCTATATGCAAATGTGATCTTCCTTAAGGCTTTCAAAATTTCCATCATCAATGGCCAGCTTCAAGCATGATCGTGAACATCCCCTAAGATAGAAACAACTATCGCTAAGCATATAGCTTAGTGGTGTACAAACTATAGGTTTGGAGACCTTAAATTCACCAAGTTATCATTCTCAAGTCAAGGGCAGCACGATCGAAACAAAATCAATAAATCAAGTAAACAATATACAAGGAGTATCAAGTTCAATGTATAAAGGTCTAAATGTCAAGAATGCTCATAGCACAACTTTTCAAGAGATTCAATAACAAGGCTCAGCTAATAAATACATCATTTCGTCACACCAAGCACGAGCAGGTATCAAGAAGGGTCAAAACCCAATAATCAAGAGAACCAAGAACCATATTAAAAAAATGGCTTCCTAGTTCGTACTTAAAATGGACAACTTCCATTCTTAAGACGAACTAAAAATCCAGAATCAAGATGACAAATGAACAGAACCAAGAGGCATGCCAAGAGTGACAAAGTCATAGCCACAAGAAGGACAAGGTCCCAACAAGAGTGCTAAGTGATCAAACAATCCATACAAGTGGGCGAGTTATATAAGCGTCTTTAATGCATTAAATAATACCAATACGACAATGCAAAGTGACAAGAGGTAACCAAGGTACCAAGATAACTTTCAGATATACTAGCAAGTAAAAAGAGTACAAGTATAAGTTTATACACAAACCTCAGTTCTTTACCACAAAAACAGTCCAACAAAACTGCACGAGTCAACCCGTAGACCTAGCAGCGTATCAAAGTCTTCAACTTGTACACGAGGATATACAACATTAAAAAAATGAATTCAATAACTTATTTACTTTCTAGCAACTCAATAATGATGACGTAATATAGGGTTATCATCACAGGTAAGCCTTGCCTGTACAAATACGACTATGCTTCCAAACAGTAAATTCTAGTCATCTTAGTTCATCATGTCGCAACGAATATTTGAAATGGCAAACATCAAAAATGGACTGTATACTCTGCATAAAAGTTGTAGGTACCTCTCTTAAGGTTGCAAACAACCAAGAATCACCGTAAAATGTATTTTGGATAAAAAGATATATTCAAAACACTAACAGTTGTCCATATAGGATTTCAAACTTCAGAATCTGGACAGAACTTGTCCTATGATGCGTCCCATATTTCCAATCCATAACAACGAAATTAGAGTTTAACGTAAACATAAGAGTTGTACATATACGAATTATCTTTCCAAATAATATTTATTCACAGTAAACAAAGTTCTATAGAACGAGATATGGTTAATCTACTAAACACTACCCAGCTCAAAAACAGGTTTTACCACTTACCAAAGAGAAGAGTGTAACTCGATTTCCAGCCAAAAGGACCAAGATTTTCTCTTGTGATCTTGAAGAATAACAGGTTAGATAATGTTCTAAGGGACTTATACTTCAGGTGAGACAAATTTCCTAAGAGGAGGTGTCAAATTATAGTAACACAAGAGGTGCTTATCATATACACAGCTGTCCATAAAAATTGGCTACCCAAATACTCGTGTGCTGCCCAAATGAATACATACAAACCTATATATATATCCTTCACCTCCTTTTAAAGCTATATGTATTCCCAATTAAAACATTACACAAATTCCCGCATACAATACATTAATTTACGATGATAATTATTTTAAGCAAGGTTGCAAATATAACATTATTTCAAGTTCACAAAATGAGAATTAAACATATTATAATAATTAACCAGTGGTTTATTGACATGTGACTCTTGTTAGCATTCTTGGGGTGTTGAAGAAAATTTGCCTAAGTCCTGAGTCACGGAACGGACCTACGGTCCGTAGGTCAGTAGCGTCGACCAAAACCGCGTCCTGAAACATTATTTCCTTATTTCGTTTCCTTTTTGGTTAGGACTTATTTTTCTATTTATAGGGCATGTAAACCTTGTTTTTGGGAGTTAGACTTTATTACTTTTATTCTAGTTCTTGACTTTGGAGATTAACTTGCAACTTTAGCAATTCTTCATTTCCTAAAATCGTTTTGAAGATTTTGACTTTGCAATTCAAGTTGAGATTCTGGATTTCTTCTACTTATTACATAAGTTCATGATTTCTTCATCACAACATATGAATAGTGTTCTTGATATTATGGGTAACAAAATCTACAACTAGGGTTGTGAGTACCATGAGCGATTAACAACGTATGAATAGTAACTAAGTAATTCTTCAATAGTGTTATTGCATGCATTGATAATTCTTTTGCTTAGAAATCTTTTTAACGGTGGCCAACGTTAGAATTTGTCTCGTTACTACTTGCCGAACCAAGGAGGTAATTAACGAGAAAAGAATTATGAACATATATTTAGTGTGATACTATCTAATAGTCTAATGTTGATTGGTGTGAGGGTGAAAACTAAGTCATACATCGATGTGATGTCTAATATGAGGTAAAGGTAAGGGTTAAGTAAATTATACACACGTAGCCGGACCAAGGAGCGGGGTGAAATTCTCTAGATGTCGGGCCAAGGATTTAGAGACACCTAACTTATAACTTTGCATGTAATACACTAGGAAAGGATTGTTATTACTAGGATTCATACATTATGAACTTATGGGGAACACGTACACCCTAGTTACTTTCCCCTTTTGATAACAACTAAAGTTTGAATCTTGCTCATTGATTAGTTAAATAATTTCCTGAATTTGTTTCACAAATCCCTCCCTTTAATTAGTTTTTTTTGGAAATATATTGACCAAATGAATATAATAATTGGTTGAAGTTAAGTCTAAACTACATTCCTCTTGGGATCGACCCCAACCTACAAGTTGGGTTCTTTACATGATAACGATCGCTTATGCTTCTTTAGGGAGGTGTAATTTGAGCGTATCATCGGGTTCGCAAGTTGAGAAGCAAGGAAGTAGCATCAGCCAAGGTTCTGTGAAGAAATCAATTTGTTGAGAAAGCTACTTAGGAAGTTGAGGAGGACATGAGGAAGAGATACCCACATCTCTTTGAGTCCGGAGAAAATCAAAATTAAGGTACTAATCCTTTCTTGGCATTTATTTTAAGTTGGCATATTGTGTTATATATTGATTGTTGGGTGTTTGAGTTGGATGTTAGATGTTACACCCTTAGCCACTTAGAGTAATCTCATTCGACGACGAATAATCTCAAGGGGAGATATTGTAGCATCCCACCTGAGAAATAACTATAATTTTAAAGAATTAATTTTTGAAAGATTGAAAATCTAAAAGTTTGCAAGTTTTCCTAAGTATGAATTTTGGGTCAACTTCAAATGACCATAACTTTCATTACATGAGGAGTTATGTCACGACCAAAAAATGGACATGACGACACTCGTTTTATCCCACCAAGACAAGTTAGCCTAAAACCCAAATATCACAAACTCTACGAAAGTAAGAGGAAATGAAATCTAAAAATATCATAAGTACAGATAACTAAGTCAACTTAATAACACCCCCAAACCTGGTTGTGACGTGTATACGCCTCTAAAGTAATAAAATTGAATCGAAAGAAAGATACATCTCTAAAATGACATTGTTTCTAGAATAGAACAAAATCATAAATAGGACTAAGAAGGTCTGCTGAGATGATAAACAACTACCTCACAAATCTCCACAGGAAGCTTCGTATAAGGAGAGAATAAAGAGTATCCCAAAGATCCGGGTTATTAACCTACAAAAATGCAGTAGCAAAGGGTGAGTACTAAACCACACGGTACTTATCAAGTAAAATTCTAAACACAAGCTAATGGAATAGAATACCAGTACTCCTTACACCCCAACCGAACCTCCACAACTACAACCTTCTTAAAACCAGCCCAACCTAAAAGTTCACAATTACATAGCACACAACTCAACAATAACACTCTAGCAATTACATATCCTCAACAACAAGTTCAATATTCATCAATCATAATTTTCACAAAAAGACACTTACATGATCGGTAACACACAAGATCAAGTTCATCAATGATAACGATGTGCAATGCAATGAAATGCAATGTCAATTATAGTGATGCATGTCTCACCTAATGACACACACCCGCTGTTTCTCAGTCTGGGACCCATGGGGGATATATCTGTCC